AGTTTGCTCGGAGAGGTACTCTCGACTGACCGAGAACAATTGGAATGTCTCGCTTTATGTCGGGCGAAAGGGGCCGATTGAACCCAGGCTTCATTAGTGTTAGTTGTCCCAGCACTGCTCTGCAATACAGATTTTTTGTCGGGGTCTGGCAACTATACGAGCAATGGTAACTTTCTTGTAAGTTGTCTGTTGGTAATCATCCATTTGTCGATCTGATTGTCGAGGAACTGGCAGTATGCATTGACAGTGACGAGTTTACTTTCAGTATAGAGCCGCCCAAAAACCTCAGTGTAGAAATCTTTCGCTATGATGATCATCCACTTGCGCCCACGTGACCCCTCATGGTAGAACTCGGAGGCTTCTCATCTGCATTCATACAAAATTGATTGACGATTGTGAGTTTTGGCTCGAGGTCTAAGACACCCATATTTCATCCAGGGCAGGGGGTGCGTTTTCAGTCGTGAAAGACATCTCATGCTGAGAGCAGTACTGCTAGAGGCATAGAATCAGTAGTGCGGTCGTGCATCTAGAAGAAAATGAGGTACCCATGCGCACACCCTCTTGACCATCTTCAGTTTATCGGACATAACTCACACAGCGCTTGCAGCAGTGTTGTCTCTCGCAGGGAAAGTCGACAGAGGTCCAGCCTTTGTGATCAGACATTCAGCGCTTGACTTCGACCACCCTTTTTTTTATGCAGGATGAACATTATGGGACCATCTAGGACAACAAATTTTTTTTCTCTTCTTCCTTTTTGGGGTCCTGGACCAAACCTTCCACCTTGTATTTCGCGAACATCATTACACAAAACTGCAGGTCCGGCGCAGGTCAAATTTGAGCAGCGCACTTTCCTCTTAAGACGCCTAATTCGAAAACCCAGCTCTGATTTTCACCACTCGAGCTTCTTTTCAATTTCTCGAGAACTTCTTCTGCGGGTAGGCTCGCCAAATTCTACAAATACATAGCTAAAGGTACTAGCCTCCAAATGGTATAGTAGCCCGCTGCTCTATCCCCTTTGCTTTTCTGCCATTCCTCCATATGTCTCGGCACTTTTTAATTGGGATGACCTAATATTAAAGCGGTCCGGCATTAGGTTCCAAATTATGCATTCTCCCTGGGTTCTTTTTCACCTTTTCTGTTATTCGTCACCTTGTCATTGGTTAGTCACAGAACGAACCATTTTTTAGCAAGGGGTGTGCCTTTGAATTGCACAATAAAAGCAATAAGTGTTATAAAATCCCTGATAGCATTTGGACGAAATGGTCATTTTGTGCCTTGAAATTAGGTAACTCCACTGTTTCTGAAGTCAGTCCGTGTACTCAGATAATGTACTCATTGTAGATATTATCTAACTAAAGCAGTACATTACCATTTTATCCTTAACAGAGGCGCTGAGCACAGAAGTATCGCAGAAGGAAAGGAAGAACAAATTTTCAAGACTACTATGCCTTTTGGGTTTTCATAAGAACCTTAGAGTTCCACACTACCACTGACCACCCATATAGAAAAATGCTAGACTCATCTGGCTTTGATAAATTTTTGACAAATATGACCATACCCTGATAGCACTCTCTCTTTCGCGTGACGCATTTGGCGGAGGACCTGAAGACCCACTCCAACGATTTACATTAGATATTGGACGATTCTCTGAGGCTGAGCTAGCGCTGCTGCCACTCTTCACCCTGAATAAAATTGCTGTTTGGTATGAACCGTCTCGCTTCGACTACACGAGTCTGAAACACAGGAAAAACGATCACCATCCTCGCGTCCTTTGGCTTCTTCTTGACTACCTTTTCAATTTTGCTAGCATCAGCAGTGATGGAAGCACTCGCTATGTCGAAACTGTCACCTTCTGAGGATTGTGGCGCATCTAAAAATATCAGGTTGAACCAGAGAAAGTGATCCAGAAGTTTTAATGAATGGCATTGATGACAAAGATTAATATGGAAGAAATGCGAATACAACTCCAGATAAATAGTTTAGATTTGTTCCTTCTCTGATAGAAACGGAACTAGCCCTCCATCTGCATTTCTCCGAGGAGAAATTCACTTTTTCGTCTCATATGTGATTCAAACCCAGCCACATCCCTAGCCTAGTAGACAGAGAAACGAATCTGTTTCCAGAGTGAGATGTTGCGACATAAATAACTTAGCTCGCAGTATTAATCCACAAACACAAAGTGCAACTCCCATATAAGAAGAGGAAAAAAAGTACTGCTGGTAGCGATCACGCGTATCGGATAGCGCCCAGACTCGCCCGGAAAGCGTGAGGTGCGGGTTTCACTGCACTCCGCCCGGAGGCACTTTTGCCCATAACTCAGCATTCTTGTGACATTCGTAACGCGTACTGCGGCGTTATACAGCAGTTATCATAACAAAACAGCTTCAAAAATATTGCTTCTGTTTCTGCTACTAATAATAAACATCAATGTCAACCAGACAACCAGTTCACTGCCCCCCTCCTCGCGTATGGCAGACCTCATTGCCCACCCCAGACAGCCACGCCCCTTTAGTTACACGCTAGGTTCTCATTATACACTAGTTTTTTACGATTTCACCACATCGCACATATACAATGATGAATGAACTTTCAGTTGAGGTCACGCTTGACTTCGCCCTCATAACTCTGCCAACTTATTGGAGATTTGTTGAAAATTTTACCCCTTCACAACTTTGAACAATAACGTCCCTTTTTAGCGATCTTTTCGTTTAAGCGAGTTTGTGTACAGTGAGCGAGTTTTGATGTACATACAGGTGCGATTCTATTACACCTCAAATGTGAGATACAAAGTTACTAAGACAAGATGAAATAAGACAGAAATGTACAGGAAATAACTCACCCCTGTCATTGTTCTCTGAGCAGGAATCACATATGTGGATTTTGTTTTGAATGTCGCAAAGTGATCATCATTCTGATGATCATCATCCTCGTCTTTCTTCTAAAACTTGTAAATGAGTAAATCAGCAAAGAGGAAGTGCAACGGCGTCTTAGTACGTGCGTTATAAGTACGAGGAGTAGGCCTAACCTCTACTTGGCCCCATGTCCTAATCGACTCTGTATGAATTTTGAGGTCCTCATCGTCCGCATGGTCTTCCTCAGCGACATCTCCACTTTCCGCACCCATATCCTTGATCTTTAGTCCTTCCAACCTTAAATACCCAGATGGAACCGGTGTAGTGAAACCAAATGGAACTGGTGTAGTAAAAAAAGAAACGATTCAACGCCTGATTTCATTGTGGTAGCTCGGATAGGAGTGGAAAGACGCGTACCGTCCTTGGTTAGTATCAGTGTAATCGATCCATTCGCTCTCTTCACCACTTGTTTGTCCAGGAATTGTACCGTTACCGCGTGCACGTACTTGGTACTCGCCATCATCAGCATTTCGAAGATCATTTTCCATTTGTAACTGGTCATTTTCCTCCTGAAAATACAGATACATAACGCTGAAAAGCGAAGGCATGACACCAAAAAAGTTCAAGTTGTGTTTGGAGCCTCATGAGATTCGATTAACATGTATTTGGGTTTTGAGGGCTGCATTACAGTGGATCACGTCAGGAAATAATGGAATTTGCCGCCGTCGCCGTAGGATTCGCCACGCGCGACGTATGGGAGAAATTACGATTGTCTTGCCAGCTTCCAGCAAGCAGAAGCACTTAATCAAAATTTGTCACTGACTTGTTTTAACGCAGATTCTCTTATGATATTCGTTTCCTTATACTAACACGAAAGGAGTTGCAAATGCCAGTGTGGCGGGCACACCAATATTTTCGGAAGTTGTTATAGTCCAACATTTTCACTAAACGGAACGCTATGGCCCACAAAAAATGCTTCAGTCGCGTACAGCGATTGACCACCTAGAGTAAAAGATTCCTTTATAAACATCCACTGCTTTTCCCGTCAGAAGAAGGTTAAGCCGTCTTTCATCGCCGAAGAGCTCTTGAGTAGCTCGCGTCAGTCATGAGTCAATTTCCTAAAAACTGTTGCTGTTACAGGAAGACAAGTCTCGTCCAGTTTCGCGAACAACGACGTATGTTTCATATTTACATGACTCCACCCTGTCAACTGTCCAGCGCCCTAGAAAACCACTGTCGCGTTTCGGATGCACAATATAAGGTATTCGTCGACCGGCGCCAAGCCATCCCTCTCCCCAGACAGGCTGTGAAAGGAGATTGTACTGTAGGTGGAAGTTGGTGGGTAGGTTACCATCAGCATTTCAGTCAATTCAAAATTTCATAGATTTTCGCAACGCAATGGCGTGCAGCGGTACGACTGAATTTCCAGGGTCCAAATCCCGATTGTTCTATGCGATATGAGTTCCACAGGTACGCTTCATGACTTAGGTGGCGCTCAGCCACCTAAGTCATGAAGCGCTCGTGGCCTAGGCAGTCTCGACAGGTTAAGAGATGGCACGTCACGGAATTGTCAGTAGAAAATGTCATTGAATTGGGATAACGCGTCAAATGCGCGCTATGGCGACATGAGTTGGAGCATTCACTCTCACTTTCACTGCATTACTAGTTCCGGTTAGCCTCCCAACCCGCCAAAACATATGAACCCTTGCGAAGCTGATGCAGCTTCGCTGAGCTACCACGGTAAAACCTGTTCATGAAATAGCCCTCTAGATGGTTCCACACGTCGACAGGAAGTAGCAAAAGCAATGTCCCCCCTCACTCAACGCCGAACTGCCGTCGTTGGCCAAAGACGTATTGACAATAGTACAACCTGAGAAGGAATTCCAGTACACATCACAAACACCAAGACTAACCATTATAAATTGTAAGTCTGGGCTGTGATTTCCTCGTCATTGACGTGGTATGTGACGTCAGTGACACGTCATCCTCTAACACGTCCATGACTTGTCATTTCTTAAAGAGTAATCTATTCGCTTACTTACTGAACACTTGCGCTGCGTAAATATCATCCAATACAATGCTACACAAGGCGACGCAAGCTTGCTGAGTCGACCAGATTCATCGAACCTCACAAGTTACAAACACACCCTAACGTCCTCACAGAAGAATACAACTAACATACCTGTCGTTTTACTTTGAGCTCGAGAATATGTCCAACATCTTCCATCTTAACGACATTCTTCTTTTTCTTGTCTTTCTTCTTAGCGAAAAACGCGCTCAGATCGTCCGACATTCCTACGCCGTTCTGCTGCTACCTGTTTGTTTCACAACGGCGTTACGTTTTGCGTGCGAGATACTTTCACAGTATCAAGACGATATCTATAAATAAATATCTAAAATATGCGCTAGTTGATTTAGGAAGCCATGAAACATGGCATGGGGTGTGCGACAATGCACCAATAAGGTGGGATGGGAAGTAACTCGCGTTACGTTGGAAAGTTTCAAAGTCACGTCAAATGATTCCTTGCGCGAAGCTAAGATTACTTTATGCAAATAAACACTTTCCCCTGGGGCAAAAAAGAAAAGACCGGGGGGGCGAATAACCCCACCGGCGCAGTTCGGGGGGGGGGGGGGGGGGGGAGGCATTTGCAGCTTTCGTTGCCTCACTAGTTCCGGTTGCAAAAATCTCGCCCTTATGAAACCTGGGAATTCTTGTGAGAGCTGAAGCAAGCTCTTTAAGCAATCATGGTAAAACATGTCAATTGGAAAAGAGGCTGTCTGGATGGGTCGCCACTTGTGAAGCAATTGTGCAGAATGCCCCTTTCACCGAACAGCCCGACCAATTTACGCTTTCGTACGCTACAGAAGCTAGAGCGATACATGTGCGCTTCTAGTCTCTAAAAAACGCTGCCGTACGCTCAAAAAGCTGCCGCAAAGTACAAACCCCCTTTTGAGACTGCATACCATGCGACAGTCAAAAATTTGAACTTTACGACTGCTCTTATGAATCCATGTATGTACTGATCCGACGTCGAAAACATCGACTGTGTCGGATCCATACGCCTCTCATCTCCTCAGCATAGTCGTCCAGAACGTCGATTACGTCGAGAGAACAGAAAGGTCTAAGGTGGCCCAACGTGTTGAAAGGTATAAGGCACAATAATTTGGTACTCTCTCTAGTATGGTAGCAGGGGTGCTAAATATTGGGAAAGTGGCAAAAAAGTAAGGTAATGGTCAAAAACCTGCAAAAAAGCCTTTGTTTCACAGGACTCAAAAAATGAATTCGGACTAGTTTCCGGTTGGCATCGTGCTAATAACTGCTATGGTAGATACGACATTAAGTACGTGTACTATATACCTATGCAGCACCGCAGCCGCTTCATATCAATTTCTCCGCTTCATACTCTTTTTCGCAAATGAAGCGATATAAGCATCAGTATCAGTGGGATATTTGTGAGCAAGAAGGCACGCTGGGCGTCCGGGTCGGTGTGAGCTTTATAGGGCGCTAGAAGGCTTTCTTGGAAAAGGCGCGGCGCAGCGCTTGTTAAGGGGCAGCGAAATCTGCTCTGATACGTGTAATATTCCTGCACGCCATGGCGATTTGTCGCGTCACGAGCCTTGGACATATGCCTTCAATAACGTATCAGATCGACAGGTGTACTAGAACGAGCTATTAGTGTCACGGTAGATTCACGCCGAGGACAAGTTCCCCAAGCCCGTATAACCACCCTGCTACCACGACCTGCGATTACACTCGTTCCTATCCCCATAACAGGCAGGGTATCCAGTTACACCTGCTCCCATATTCTTCTTTTTTACCTAGGAGCGCATTTAGCCATCAACCCGACAATTCCCCTAATCACTCACATACAATTCTTACGACCACTTTCACATCCACCAAGACAAACGTGTATCGCATTGGAAGAAACGACACATCGCATTGCTAAGCGCATCGCTCACCAGTGAAATGATTTTCACGTGAACAATCCATGTTTCTGTGAACTGACGCCCCCCTCTAAATTACATCAGACGGCAATGTCAAGAAAAGAAGTCATATCGGGTTTAGAACAGCGATAACTGCAAAGCCACTGGCATCACATCGGAGCAGTACAAGGACGAAAATGCAGCATGAACCCTTACGTGGAAGTGTTCGGGGAAGATAAAGAAAAGCTTGAAGAGAAAGGGCAACTCGGCTGACGGTTGGTGTTTTTACTAGGTAAACTGGATACAATGGCATTATTGGATAATTCAACGACACCCACTACATCATAAAAAGGGTTCATAGAAGAATATTGAGCTCACCTTGTTCGCCTACCGCACAACCACACGCACTAACACTACCGATGCGGATGAACCAAATGTATAAGAATGAACAAAGCCATTGTGGAGTAAAGCTTTGAAAAACATGATAAGTGTGATAAAGCAGATGAGGAAATAATCTTACCAATCAAAGCGAACTAGCAGAACATGAGAACTTGCGGGATTCTATTTCTGTCATGAGAGGGGGCGAGCAGTGGGAAAACGGCTAACCACCTTTATTCTGACCACACGGCAGATTGGCGTTAATTGGTGCATACGTGCCGTAAGAATGCGGAAGCAATCAAACTATTTGGACCCCACAAATGCTGGAATTCCTAAGGAAGTGTCCACCACCACGGACGAGTGTCCTTTTCTACGGACTAACGTAACATTCTCTTTTTGGTGTTTTACTGAACTGACTAAACTCCACGACATGAACTCGCCCAACACTGATGTTCGCATGAGATGATGTCACTGAAGTTCAGTCAATTCATGCAGACTTTGAAGAGCTGCTTTGTAAGTCCGTAGAATAAGACGCTCCCTAGTGATAAAAACTGCTGGAAGAACTAGCGTGGCTCCGGATATTTCGCTTGTTCCCACGAAAACGCGCGATAATTCGGAGGGCGACTGCTAAAAACGCCGAAGTGTGAAGCTCTGTGCTGACAAGAGAATGTAAGGAATTGATGGTCAAAAAACAATGTGCTGCTACAACAGCAAACATTAACAGAGGGATTCGCATACGAGGTTCCATTCGACGAAGGGCAACTACCCTTAACAAAACCATCGCAAATTGGACACAGCGTCAGTGAGAGAAGAGCGTAACGTCCGTATAATACAGGTAAATTGAAACCTGTTTGCAGCTGTTCTATAAGGGAATAGTTTGTTTCAACCGTTAGAAAGCTATCAAACGCGCACAGTACGTTCACTGAGCGAGCATACTTCGGGATCCTACACCTACCTCATCGGATGCACATCTGCTGCGAACAATAACTACCCACTGTTCTCAAACATGATTTGCGATTTGTGACGCACAGATGTGTGGCACAAAGTTCTGATGACGGCCATAGGGAGTAATGCAAACATTGGGCTTTAGATTAAGCAGATAGACTGAACGATTCACTGATTTATTCTGTCAGAAGCATCGAATGATTATCGAATACAGGACGAGCCCTTTAGGTTACGTGACTCCTCTAGCCTTTTCGGCATCCTGCCGCCAAAGAAGAAAGCATGGACAAATTAAGGACAGGGGCCGCCGGAGCGTTGAAAGCGGGTGAAGGAACATGACGATTCCAGGACAAAATATTCCGAAGGAAGGGGAGGGGCAGAAAATTCCGAGAAAGAAGCAAATCACACGTAATTTTTGGTAATTAAGTATGCGCGCTAAATAACATAAGACTGCAGGAACAAGCAAAAACTTGCCCAAAATACTCCGTATAAAAACCAAAACCACATGCTAAACCGCGCTTTATACATGCATAAGGCGAAGAAAGGGCATGGTTGGAGGAGTTCCCACTTGCTGGTGCCAGCACTTTTCCTATTCACTCATATCTCACTCTAGCCACTCGAAATGGAGTGCTGGTATAGGAACAACCGCACCATCATGTAGTAGTCAAAAAATGTATGCTGAGCGAAACCGGGGCCAGTGGGCACAGCCTTGGTTCCGTAGCGAGCGAGAGGCGCTTTCTTCATTATTTTTAAGCTGTCAAAATGGAATATCCTCCATGCTAGCAGGCAGGACTATAACGCCCAAATGTGTCTGAACGTTAAGTGAACGCGGAGGCGGCGCCATTAAAGGAACACTCCATGAAGAGTATGCGACAACTAGCACTTTTGGTAGGTGTCTTGCGGCGAAAAGCCAGAGCATAGAGAATTAAAGAACTTCGGCCGCCACGGCATCGAGAGGCGCAGAAAACACGTCGCGAGCCAGAAGACGGTTTTTTTTAAAGCGAGAGACAGCGGGGTAGATGACCCTTCATTATGGGTAGAAAGGTGATACTTTGAAAGGTCAAGCGGTCCAGAACGTCATGTAGACGTGAGAGCGCATAGAAATACAGAACGTTGGCGCTACCAAATGGACTAGATTTAGTTGTCTGTAGACCGTCCAAGAATCGAGCTCCACACAGCTATTACTGTGTGTCACTGCTTTAGCGTAAAGCCTAAATATGAAAGCTGGTTTGTACCACGAATGACAGTAGATTAACCAATACCGAAGAAATTGCCAGTAGAAAGGATGAAAAGCCGAAGTTCATTCGAGCACGCAAACATACACAAAAACGTACAAGACACTGGTATGCCCCAGCGCTATTCTGCAATCGATTTCCACGCGATAAGGGACTAATCACGGCGCCATATTCATTGTGCCCCCGCATCGACGACGTCCTACACAATAGCTTTTCCTTCCACGTCATACACCACACTGTACGCAAAAAAGCAAACAAAACGACGAACCTTCGCTAATACAGCGTCACCAATCAAACTTTCTCAATGTTTTCCGAAGCCTCAGTCTCACTGCACGACATCTGCCTTTGAATAAACAGAGACCCTCAAACCATTCAAAAAGAAACTCCTAGGATGAACTTTATTACAAAGCACATCTACATTCTTTCTGGGTAATTGAAACAAATTCCTGGGCTAATAAAACACATTTCGTAACGCAATGGAATTACGAAATTAGTGTGCGAGTGACAACGAGGAGTGGGTTTTCCTGATTCGATGACGATAAAGTCGCAGAGAATAAGGCCACTGCACTTCTGATTGCCCAACCGGTTATATATAGAACACGAACCTGACTAAAGGGTGCACATAACTCCTCAGCGAGACGATCTGAGAGAATGTAGATAATCGCAAGCATGGATGTTAACAATGTAGACGCATCAAGCTAGGTAGAACCGGTTACAACAGCAAAGCAGGTTCTTGTTAGCCATCCGATTATCTTTCGCTGACCTGATTCCTAGTTCCCAGCGAGCATACTTGCCCTTGGGAGGATCAACGGAA